TCTCTCTCTCTCTCTCTCTCTCTCTCTCTTTTTTCCTCGATCGATCGACGAGAAAGTCAAAAGAGTTCGCGCACCTCCGGCGCCTCGACATATCGAAAGTCTTATTTAATTAACTGCTAACGCCGATCGGGATTCTCTCGACAATTTCCGGTCAGCTCCGCGCGACTCGGATTCATCACCGTCGCCGTCGGCTGCTGCGGATCTCCCCACCCATCGTACGTCGCTCTTTGCGCCTCTCTTCCGCGATGCTCCTCCGAGCGAGAAAGAGGCTTTCGGTCCGAAGGAGGCTCTGGAATGGCCCGGGAAGCTGTACCGATCGATAGAACGCACCGAGTTCCGTGAGATAACGAGGGAAGGCCACGGAGCATCGATCAAGCAGCCCCCTTAGAGCGCGATTCCGCCGACATCTTTATCCTTTCGCACGACCAGCTCTCGTTCTTACTGCAACGTTCCTGAATTCCGACGCGGGGGGATGCACGTTCGCGTTGCATGCATACACTCGCGGTTTACGATGAGCGAGAGTCGCGGAGCTCGTAGTTCCGTATGAAGAGGAATGTCGTGTCGGAGAGGGAGCGGGTCTTGAAGTTCGTCCTAAAACCCTCGGCTGTCGGAAAGAGCTGTCGTTATCGCGACATTACTGGGATCGGGGAGCCGAACGATGAAGTTCAGATCGGTCTCTGTGTCGCGCGCGAGTCCTCCGTTTATAATATTTGCGGCACCATTACTTGTAACTCGTAGATTATCGAAAGAGGATTTTCGCGGATAGCCACTCGTCTCAAACGTTTGTTTTTTTCTTTTTTTTTTTTCCACGAGCTGCGCAGGTAGGTGAGGTGAGATAATTAGGTAGGAGTCGAAGGGGGAAGACCAATCGGTTTTCCAGGACGAGATGAAGCTATCCCGAGATAAAGCCATTATTCAAAGGAAGAGGAAGAGAAAAAAAGGGGGGGAAGAAAATGCACTGAGCGCCGAGCTCGATTTGACGCTCGCTCGTCTCTCGGATTTCTCGCGAGGAGATTTACGCAACACAGACAGCGATTCCCGGACGGATCTCGTTGTTAAGGTATCCACGATGTTAGATGTTCCTCCGTGGTGCGGGAGGAGCGGGTAGGAACGACGTCCGGCAATAACTGAGTTCAGTCGCAGAAACAAAAAGGAAACTACCGCGCGGTAATCTCTGCGCAGGCTCATTTTTCACCTTTTCAGATGAACACCAGCTGCGACGTCACGCGTGTCCGCTTTTCTTATACATATTTTCCATCTCCCTCCCATCCTTCCGCCGGAACGCCCCGACTTTCTCGCCCCCAAGTGGAAACCCGGCGATCCCTCGTCTCGTTTTCGCAGGCCACACCCTCTGTCTCTCTCCCTCTCTCTCTCTCTCTCTCTATCCATCCATTTATTTATCTATCTCTCCCCATGACGACCGCGATCGATAAAAATTCGACGCGCCCGAAAATAAATTCACATCATCCGGACTGCTCGTTGAGAGTCAATTCCCGCTTTTGAACCGAGAGTCCCTCTCTCCCTCTTTAATTGGCCAGTGCGAAGCGGCTCTGGTCGCCGCCTCCGCAGGTCATGCGTTTTCATCGAGGCGCGGAAAAAGAATCCTTCCCCTTCTCACCTTATTTTCACACACCGTCGAGACTCGTAATAATCAAGCTATCGAACCGAAATTATTTCTCCCGGCTCGTCCTTATCCCGCGACGTAGTCGCGTCCTTCGATGTCGCCATCGTCGTCTTTTTCGTTGTCTTCGTCGTAGTGTTCTCGTCGTAGTCTCCGTCGTAGTCCTCGTTGTCTTCGTCTTCCGCTTCTCTCGTTCTCCCCGCTGCCCCCGCTCTCGACACGATCTCGAGAACAATTTCGAGAGACGTGCCGCCGCGCGCTCACGCTAATGCACGATGCACACCATTCTCGGGTGAGCAAAGCTGCAGAACACACTTTTCCACTTTTCCACGTGAAAATCATTCCGTTGACCGACATCCGACGCCGGGCATTAATTTTTTTCTTTCTTCTCTCTCACTCTCTCTCTCCCCTCTACGTACGTTATTATTTCAGTGTTCTCTCCTTCGTACGCATCGCGAAATCTCTCTATCTCTCTCTATCTCTATCTCTTTCACTCACTGTCACTCTGATCTGTCTCTCTCTCTCTCTCTCTTTTTCCCCTTCTCCTTGAATCTGCTCGTTTGTTATCGTCTTTATGCTTGAGTTATTACCCCTTTGAGTTATATTGAGTACGTATATCCTTTACTTGATTCGGTTTCTCCGCCAGTCACCGATACGTATCTTTTAATTACCAGTTTTCTTTCGCGCATGCTAGTGTATATATATATATATATACTTAGTATCTCTTAGGTAGGATTAACCGTGCGAATTAGTACCTAATAATAATATTGATAATAGCGCGCGAGGATCGCGAGAGGATCGCTCGCCAGTCTTTGCTGGTGATTGTGAATAAACTCCGAGCTATGAACCGCGGGTCGCCCTGACAGGATCGCGATTGGCAGCGTCCTCGAGCGATGTCGCGCGATGGCCGACTTATTAATCGATTTCTTCTTTTCTTTCAAACAGTTATTCCAGGAAACTTCTGTGTAGCGGTGTTGCGCCACGCACAATAATAATCTCTCTCACACGCGATGGCTAACCGTTGGCGTTACCGTCGAGATTACTTTCGTTCTGCCCGCGCAGAATAAATGTGTCACTCTGCGTGTATCTCGATTTTTCTCCGATGCTTTTTGCGTCGAAACTGCAGAGAGCGAACGTGAACGATTCTTTGGAAGTTTCGTCCCTCATACGTATAATTTGAAATCTACTGATTACTTATTGTTCGCGTGTAACGTCGGTCTTACGAATCGGGACGAAGTAATCTCTGACGCGGTCGAGCTTTGCCGAAGGCGATCGTACATCTACGTGATTTTTGTCATCGCTGAAAGAAAATGTGCAATGTTCGATTCAAGTAATTTCAATCGTTCGGAACGTTTTAACGACACACACGCAGCTTTGGAACGCGTTTTAATAATTATCCTTCCCCGTACGAATGATGCAATTGATTAATTCATTCTCTCTGTCATCTCTTCTATAATCAAAGACATTTAAGGTCGGATAGAGTAGTTGCGCGCTCGCTTCGGAAGGTTCGACAATTTCGACGCAGGTCGATCATCCTTATTACACTAATCAACTATATTTTTTCTATATTTCAGTATTACCGTATTCACACGCCTGTGATGACGAAATTGCGGGCATCCGTAATCGTTCACGCGAATTCCAGCGTTCGGCGAAGTCGCTCGCGTACAACGCGATCTTTCCGCATTTCATTATTTCGAGTCCGTTGTATAAAGTATCGCGAATACCTCACGGTTTATGTGTGTATGTGTGTATCCTCGTCACGACACAGTGAATTTTAATACGAATACTTTCCGTTTTTGCCACGTCGTGTCGGTAAGTACGTTTCCTGTGGGAATATTCCCGTCCGCTCGGAATACACACAACGCGAGCGATTCTTCATGATTCCCGGGAATTTGTTTCGTTAAATTACATGCGAAAAGTACCGGGGTAAATGTCATATCACACTCCCGGGAAAAGAAACAAAATATCGTCGCAGGCCGTAAACAATATTTTTGCACGCGCGCTCGGTAGATTCTCCGTGAACATTTTCGCGAGCAACTTCGCCTATTGTTCCGGGTCTTCGATGGCGGATTGAGCCGCTGAGCGGTGAGATCTTCTCCCCAGAATCTCAGACCGGGAAGATCTCCGTGAAGGACACTACATGTCATCATTCTCAATCATTCTCGCGAGGATTCTCACGCGCGTTCTTTCGCCGTTCTCGCCGTCCGACACAATCCGCCACTCGACGGACTCGTCCGACCGACGACCGAAAGAAAATGAAAAAAAAAAGAAAAACAATCAAAGATATATATATAACGACGATAGAAATTATCTAACGCACATGCTTGATTGAATGCCACTTACGCTGTGCACACATTTTTTCTTGTCTGTTCTATGTGTTGTTTTCTTTGCGCAACATTCTACAACCGCCTCTTCGCAACCACTACCATCACCAACTTACTACTACTACTACCACCAACCACCGACACCAACCAACCAATCAACCAAAACAACCATCCGCAAACCGTAAAAAAAAAAAATCAAAAACAAAACGTCTTCCCGTACCGGGCTGTGTCCGAACGAAAAAAAAAAATCTCTGCCACTCTCTATCTCTTCTCTTCGGCCGCATTTGACGCTGCTCTCACATTGTTGGTTACTTCTGTCCTTTTACTTACGTCCACGCTCACCATCGGTAAACCGACCATGGGCGCACCATGGCCGCCATGGTAACCCGATGGTAACCCGACGGTCCGGTCCGAATACGACCCCACCTACCATCGCGTACGGTGAGTTATTTTCTGTTGAAAGTGCGAGTAAGACCTACATACTATGATCTATCCTCTCTCTCTCTCTCTCTCTCTCTCTATCTATCTCTACTCTCTCTCTTTCTCTATCTCTCTGTACTCTATTTCTATCGGCCGTGTACGACGAACCCGCGGGGACTCAACGCCGTTTCCCTACCGAATAACGTACTGCTCGAAAGCGAATCTCTCGTTATTCGATACCGCCGTAACGAGACCCGGTAATTACGACGTAAGATAACTCCGGCCGCCGCTGTGCCGGAGAATTAACATTGATCAATAAACTTCGTTAACGGCGCGAAAGACAAAGACGCGGCGCCCTCACAGTGAAATCGGCGAAATTCGGAAGGGTCGGGAGAACCCTCCTGCTCCTCCGAAGGGCTGAAGAGATTTCAAAGGGTCGCGTACATTCGGTCACGATCGAAGGTAGTGGCGTTCAGTTCCCCGGCCGCAGTTGTCCACGATTCGAGAAGAACAGAGTATAACCAATCTAGGAAATCGTGTCTTAGCACCCCAATGGTTCCCGATTAGAATCGCGTTGCTCGGTCGTCGTTAGCCCTCTACTGCTACTCCGCTTTTATGTTCGAGAGAGAGAGAGAGAGAGGAAGTAGCGCGACTGTCCAAGTAGAAAAATGTTGGGGAAAAACTAGTCACTAGAAACTGAACAGTTTTTACTGGCTTGAATTAATCAGACTAACTGTTTAGGAATTGTCCAAAAAATACTGACTATTATTTCTTAGTCAGTTACTTGCCATAAACTATTTAAAAGTTAAAAAAAATTAGTAAGTTAATACCAGACAATTTCAGTTTCCAGCAAAAACTCTTAAAATTCTTGCTAGTGTTTCTTGGTCGTATCCTGGCCAGAAATTAGGCAAAATAATAAACAAATGAAATGCTGAAAATCTTATTAGGAACTGGTCTGAAGCTGGTTAGTTTTACTATCGAGTTATTGTCGAAACAAAAGTCCCCCGAACTTGTAAGTTTTTGCCAGTAAAACTGATCGGCTAGTTGGAGAATTACTGGCCAGTTACTGGCTAGAAACTGGTTTAATTTCTATTTGGGTGTGCTCTCTCTCTCTCTCTCTCTCTCTGTCTCTCTCTCTCTCTCAATCGTAGTGTATATTCGTCACCGGTTTCGCGTCGCCGCGCTTCTTCCGGAGAAGAAGAACGTCGACTCGATGTCCTCTCGAAGAATCCGACACGACGCGCGTCGTGAGAAATTCTAAGTTACGATTTCTTGCTCACTTCTTCGAAAATCTGTGAATCGCGTTGCATCGGTCCAAACAAATATCCAAACTATCGCGGGCTATCGGACTTGAGTTGACGATAGTAGTCGAGGGTTAAATGTCCACCATTGGGTACGCGATCCTTCCTACTCTCGATGGATCTCGATCCACGAGAGAGGGAAGCATCGACGAGAGAACGCGACGGCATAGGCGTCGCATCCGCCGTATGAAGGACGAGATAGCGTTCGTTCCAGGTTGTTTCGCGGTGGCGCCTATGACGGGGAACAACGTCGAAGGCCCGTCGTCGTAATGAGAGATTGAGCGACACGTTCGACCTGCATTCGGAAGATCGTTCGACACTTCGAGCCGATTTGATCGCTCCTGCCATCACCGATGGTGATGGTGATTGTTGTCCGCGTGGAACGCGCCCGGTGATGAACACCGGGTGCGATCGATGACACGCGCTCGTTTCAAGTACATAGAGAAAAGACTTTCTTCGGATTTAGTATTCTATTATATTCTATTTATTTGACTGAAATCTGTTTCACAGAAACAATATATATTTGTACGAAATATTATTTATCTGGATGAAAATTGTATTGTCTCGTTCAAGAAAACTCGATTATTTAACGGAAAGAACGCTATTATTTGAGATAATATCTTTTAACCAAATAAAATCTTATTTGATTACAATAAATATGTAAAATGAAGCAAATAATTTTTCTGTAATTATCTTTCGCTTCAAACGAATTTTTTATTTAAGATAAAGATACATATTCGTTGAAGAGTCTAACAATCGGTACTTATTAATCAAAACATTAGTTTATTCCGGAGCATGCCAGGGATGAAATTTGTTTGGATACGATAAAATTTATTAAATTTGAAGAAATCTTCTTCTCAGTGTAGAGTTCAAGCGAAGTTACATAGTTTGCGAGTGAGCGAGAGGCGAGATGCGACGAGAGCGCATCTGCCACACAAGTCGGTTTGAAGGGACAGGCTTTGAAAGAAAACTGTTTCTGGGAAGCCCGATAGAGCACTAGAGAGTAGTCCTGCGAGCGTTTTAGTGAGCACAGGTTTGTTGACGAGAGGAAAAACGAATCGTGCGGAATCAGGTCGAATTGATCGCTTGGCGGGTCGAGTAGTCCTGCGTTCTCCCGCAGGCCTCGAGTTTAATGTCGAGTGACTTTTGCCAGAAAAAATTTCAGTTCGCCGAAACGACGATATCGAGGGACGATATCGATGCGTCGTGTTCTTTAAGTTCAACGTTCGAACGAGACGTTTCCAATTTTTGCACCGGGATCGCGATGATCTCCAATTTTGTCTCTCTCTCTCTCTCTCTCTCTGTCGGCGCTTCAATATTGACTTTCGCGGCTTCCGTTAATCGGCCGTTCGGCTGATCTGTTTGTTGATATTTACGGGAATATCGTCGCAGACGACGATGTCGGAAACGTACGAACGAACGTTTTCCGAGGGATATCTCGACGATCTCTCTCGAGATTGCACGACGGGCCTCCACGTACGAAGCTCGGTGCCAGACTGCGTTTTGATAAATGTTAGCTCGGTAGACAACTGTCGCAATGGCGTGCGCTCGGCCCATCGAAAATAACACGCGGATCGCGTTACAGACCGATCACTGCACACGGTTCATTAGGATCCGCCGTTTCTACTGTCGCCTCGCGAACTTCGCTCGAGTGCATTTTCTCCACGGCTATTCTCGGCGACTTTATCGGCATAATCGCCGGTATCGCCGCCGGTTCGATCGCGACGTCATCAACGACGAGGGAAACTTTCGTTACGATTTTCAAATGATTTCGTTGTCAGCAGCAGGGGTGTTGGGTTGTGAACTTTGAATTTTTTTTTTCAGGTAAAATGAAACGATTTTCTATTTTCGTGTTATAATTTGGTGAAGTAATGTGTGCGAAGAGCAAAATAGAACATCATGGATCATCATGACTCACATACAAAGTATCACAAATGCCTGGCCGCTACTTAGAAAATCGGAAATGTTCGATTTTCGACTTGATGCTTATATATGTATGTAAGGTCGAAAATCATATGTCCGGCATCATATTTGCTTGGTAATTATAATTAGAGTCACTTGTACACTGAATGAAAAAAGTACTACCCTTCAAGTAGTATTTATTTGATTCAAGTAAGATAGTTACTTCAATACTCTTTGACAAATATTTATTAAATGTAGAAATATAATTACTATATTCAATATAATATTTTTTTCGTATAAGTAGGTATTTGTATGTGTTAAAAGTAGGATTGGGTAAATTAACTTTTTTTTTAAGTTAAAAATCATCTAAAAACTAAATAATTAAAAGTTAAAATTAAAATTAACTTATTAAAGTTAAAATTTAATTATGCAAATATATATATATATTAGAAAAAAGATAATTAGATTGGAAGTTTACATATATATATGTGAAGCATAATTAACTAAACTTCTAACTTAAATCAATTTACCCAACCCTGATTAAAAGAATTCCGACAAATATTAAATTCATAATATTGAGAGTTGCAGAATTTATTTTTATAAAATATTTACTGGGCAGAAAATTCGAAATTTAAAATCACTAAGTTTCTTTGCGGAAAAGAAGTGTTAAATACTTCTAGCAAACACTCTCTCAAACTTATAGAACCATGTTACACTTACACACAGTAATTCATTTACAAATTAAGATATCACTGCGTTCGAATATTTGCTATTTACAAATTATTAAAATACGCATAAATTGACGAAAACATTACTTGATTGAAGAAACCGAAGAACAGGTAATCACACTTATTTGATTCTATTTTTTCCACGTACGATTTCCAACTTTGCATGTATAAGCACAGAGTCAACAATTATGTGCTCGCAATCTAGAGGATAGTCAGGCATTTGTGTGCATTGTCTCATAAAATTATAACGGCGTAAGAATGCACAGTTTCGTTTCATTTCGCTCAAAAAAGAAATTCGAAATCAAATATTATACAACCCGATAATATCGAGCGCGCGCTTCGAAACGATTGTATTGTGCGCGTCACGCGCGCAATTACAGTCATCGAGGTTTTCGCGAGCTCTCGCGCTTGTTGAAACAATACCGTCATGAAACATTAAAGCCGTGTAATATTGGCGTTACCGTAATCCATACGTTTATTTTCGCTCGCGATACTGTCGGGTCTGTCGCCAGCACCTCCGCCGCCGCGCGTTCAGAAATTGTATCCGAATTATTGTTACATTATACGTGTGTATGGATACACGTATATATACACACATAGGGCTGCATAATAGCCTTGGCGCATGCGGTATAATCAGGTTACCGGCATTTTCTAACCGTACGCATATATTTATTTCCAAATATTCACGAGAAATTCATCCCCGTGGTGGTGGCGATGATCAACACTTCTCGCTTGACGCTTCTCTCTTTTCCTCTCGGAACGAGCGATCAGTAATAAATCAGTGAATGCGCGTGCGATTAGAAAAATCCTAATAACCTGGTTTACATTCGCACGTTAAGGCTATTATGCCGCGCCCGCCGGTATATATTTGCGTCAGTCACGGTTGTTCGATTATCGAATCCTGCTGTTTTGTGCACGACGAGCAGACGCGCCGTTGCGACAAGTTACACGTGTGCGTAATCGTGCGCTGACACATAAATGTTATAGAGAACAAAAAGCTTGATCTGTTGTATAAGTTAAGTAGTTGACGTACGTCACGTTGTATGTGCCGCATCCTCTGGTTCGTAAGCGCGCGTGTGTTCGACGACGATCGACGGATGATGATCGACACGGTCCGACCGAACGACGCGCGTTTTCCCCGGCTTCTCCCGCGGCCAAGGACGCGACGGGAAATATCTGCAAGAAGGTCCACCCCATTTTTTTTTCGTCTATTGCGCGATTTCGAGCGCCACGCCGTTACAAATTGCCCGAAAATGGCATCGGGCGCGAGTCGCGCGGAAATTCGGCGAGCTGGGAAATCGCGCGCGCGCTCTTTGATCGCGACGGCCGAACGCTAATTCTCGACGTGCCCCGCCGGCTCTCTCTCTCTCTCTCTCTCTCTCTCTCTCTCTCTCTCTCTATCGATTTGCCGCGCAACGGAAACCAGGTGATTTCGAGTCGAGTCGTTCTGCTTCGCGAGACGCGCGCGGTTTAAGGAGGTTGTAAAGTAAAATGAGTTTGATATAAGGATTCGATAAAACTTGCACTATGTGTGCGTTGGAATGTTACCTAACGTGTGCAATCAGAAGAAGATTGTCCATCCGAGCACTGAAATATTTGCAACTGAAGTCGACACTTTTTATACGTGTTTCGTGAGAGATCAGCATGCTATTTTTAATTTTCCTCTTTGACATCTCTTCTAAACTAAAAGTAAGATTTTGATTTAAAAAAACTACTATGTATTAAAGACTAATATGCTATATTACACACAAATTTCAGAATTATTCAGAATTATTCATTTTGTTTTGAAAATACAGCGGCGTGAAATTCATAATTTATAGTTACACTCGTAATATATTATGTACATATTCAAACACTTAAAAAAAATATATATATATATATATAACCCTTTTAGTGCCGGGCGAAAAAGAGGTGCTTATGCGAAGATAACCGGCCGATTTTACTAGGATTTGGTAAAAGGCTCATAAAAACCAAACGAAAAGCAATATTTAAAAATTATTTATTTTAATTCTCTCGTAATGAAATTAGACTATTTATAACGTATTTTAAATTTATTTTGATAGAGATCTCTCGCAATGCGAATAGTAAAGCGCTACAAGGTGCGGGCCGATATATCGGCTCTGGCACTTCTCGCTGGTGTAGCAGGAGCCGATATATCGGCTCCCGGCACTAAAAGGGATATATATTTATTTATT